ATGAGTGGTATATTTTAAAATACTGTGTCTGTGGAGCCAACTAAAAAGCTATTCACACACTGGTTCCATTTATATGAATATATACTAAGCCAGCAATTAGCTGAAAAACAGCATTTGAAGAAAACTGGTGATTTTAAGTATTTTCAAGCATTTTAAAACCATGGGTCCAAATGGACCCACTAACACCACAGGTGTAAACAGCTTTCTAACACAATACAAGGGTTAAGGATCTATTTTGAGTCTCACTTTTCAGCTCTTTATTCTTGTTCTTGGTTCATTTTAAAGGTCAAATTCACTGAGAAACCATTTTCTTCTTGTTTTTGAAATGTGAGTTTAACATGCTAGACATGAAAAACAGAGAACAACATTCATTTGTACTAGAGACCACTGCAAATGTATCGGGAAAAAATGAGTGAACTTGGAAAAATAATTTATATTTTTTTGACTTGAAGGAGTATAGAAAGCACTGGGCTATGTTCCGCTACAACTAGCTCTTTGTTTTCTAAAAAAGCTAACTAGCAAGCATTTTTAAATAGAAGGCAGCCCTCCGTAACACACTTGTACTTTCTCAACTCTTTCAAGTCAAAGAATCTGGAGTGAAACAGGCGTCAAAGACCAAAACATTGAAGACGACACAAAATGAGCGTCCCAAGTGGCGTGTATTTGATTCGTAATGCTCCGTTACGCTTGCAAATCAGAGCTAATAACCATAGTCAAAGGGTGAAGTTGCACTGCTATATTCGTACTTTGGATTTAATTTTTACACACTGCGCTTCAAAAAACAAGCTTAGCAGTTTGGATCAGTCCAGACAGGAAGTCAAACATGGATGATGATGCGTGAGCAACACACATGGTAAACATTTGGAAAATGTCATGGCTTTGTAGGATTTCTTACTCAAACCGGCAGCTCAGCACTCTCCACTGATATTCACCACCTGCTGCACGGGAAGGAAACTCTTAAAAAACAATCTAAACTCACTCCTGTTTGATTCATTTGTTGTATCGTCAGTTGGGCAGTGAGAACCCCCCCAAAAAAACCCTTACTATAATGTGTTGTCGTGTTGCTCACAGAAAATCGCTCCCTAAGCAGAAGTGAAGAGGCCAATCAAATGTCTGTTCCCGCCCCAGAACATGATGTCAGTGCCAGACAGTGTGTTGTTTGGACACCGTGCATGGGGGGGGGGGGGGTGCTGCTGGGATTTGGGAACATACAAAAGATCTCTTGAATCATCACATTGGTGAAGCTGCAGAGACAATAAATAAATAAATCCGTTTTCTTGTGTCAATAACTTGAGATCATCTTTACTCTTATGTAATCCGACCTCCTGACTGTCTCATTTGTCTTGTACTTGACACCCATTGGGAATTAATAAACTTGCAGTTTCTACACAGCTCTGGGAAACGGCTCTGTGAAAGAGGAACTATACCCACTTGCTGTGTTCTCGTTAGAAAAGATTGCTGGAGCGCCGCATGAAACACAAGAACGCCACGTTTTTTTTTTTTTGTGGTGAAAGAATATGTAAAATAATACAGCCAGATGGCCTTCTGAATGCCACATTGCCGTGCTCACGCGGAACACTGGGAACTTTAGCAGTGTGGGCTTTTGTGCACAATGCTGAAACTGTGCATTCATCTTCACGCTGGAGATTCAGCTGCTGCAGGAAAGCAGGTCCTATCCGTTTTACGAGTCTGACTAACTGTCTTTTTGTGTCCGCTCTTTTCACTTCTGACAAAATAGAGAGATAAACTCTGAAACCAGAGAATTTTATGTTCCTAACACGAGAAAACGCTTTACAGTATTTTCTTTCTGAGTGCATCAGCTGGCTTTACAATAAAACACATTGTTTTCTTTCAGTGTGTTTCAATTCAAAAGGTAGAAATGGACATAAAGTCACGTTTCCTTTCTGAACTCAGTTCCATCTGAAACACGAACACCCTATCTTAAATGATTGCCTAGCAATTACAAACCCATAATGTCGCTTTGTAATTGCTTTCCATAATGGTGTCACTTGTCTCTTGCTGGAGGATAAACCAAGACAGTGTCTGTGGTAGCTGGCTGGATGTCATTTGGCTGAGACCGGAGAGTTGCTCAGAGGAGTGGTTAGAGGCTGGTTTGCTGAATGGCGGTCTCCATCTTTAAAAAATAAGAGCACAAGCTGTTCATTTAGACAAATAATGCTCATTAAAAAATCATAAAGCACTGACAGACATAGAAGTTATTTTTGAACAAATTCAACTTTAAGTTAAATGTGCTCTCATTGGAGCATTTAGCAGACTAGCACTGGTTTCTTTTATTTCACTTTCTTTTCTAAAATGATGCTAAAAAATATTTAAGACTGTTGCAAATCTATGTTCTCTATGCAGACTAAACCTTGGCATCATCAGAGCTTTAAGTAGGAGACCCGTTTTGTTGGCCAGAGGCCTCAGACTGTGCAGATTGTTCCAGAATTGTAACACAGTGTATTTAACAAACCGAGGACGTCTCATCCTTGCAGACAAGACAGGTCGTTTCCCCCTGGAACTGTAATGTTCCTCAGATGTACTTTTGCTTATCTATAATTTTATGAAGAGGAGGAAGAGTCTACCGTAACATTTTGTTGTGCTTCATGACAAACAGGTTTGGTGTGTAATTGGGAAACTGTCATTTGATGTGTTACGTTATTCTCAATCAGACGCCCAATCAGCTGGGAGTTTAACCGTTTTTCTTTTCTAACCCTTTGGTGCATGACGACGCCTGCTTCGGGACACATTCCTATTTTATCACCTGAAAAGTTAATAAAACAGATATAACAGAAATATTTTCCACATCCACCGCCCAAGGCGCTTTACTCATTCATCTTTGGAACAGCTCGACCCTGAACGACTCTCGCAGTCACCAGGCGAGTGACGGGGGACACCCTGGACAGATGTCCAGTCCATCACTGGGACACACAGAAAGCTAAGGGCAATAGAGTCTCTGTTTAAACTAGCATGCATGTTTTTGGTCTGTGGGAGAAAACCGGATTAAAACAAAACACGCACGGCAAGGACACGCTAAAGGCCATGTTCAAAAATGAGACCTTTCTTGCTGCGAGACGACAGCGCTACCAACGACCCCAACACAAACATGTTATCATTTCAGGCTGTTGACTCTCGATGATCCCTGCAGATCTTACTTTGCTGCTGTTTGATCTTGATTCCTTCTAGCTGTGATCAGTTGTTTGATGCCTTAAAAACAACGTTCCTACCGCTCCAGAACAGTGGTTAACAGGATCACTTTTCTTTAGAAAGAAAGCCAGAGACACTTGGTCTAAAGTGGTAAACTTAATGGCTCAATCATCAGAGGTGCTTAAGTTCCTACCACGGTTGTGGTTCTGCTCTCTTCTCCACGCACCTTTTGTCCTCCTGTCTTAGCCTCAAAGCAGCTCCACTCCAGACACCATTTGGTGTTCAGCCGCCACGTCCACCGTGAGCTTCAGACAAATGAAACTTTATTGAATGCTCTCCTGTAACTTTACGACTTCCCGTCACTGTGACGTGGTCCTGGTGTCAACGCCACACAGAACACAGCTGGTTCCTAAAGCTGACCCGACGAGGTCACAGAAGAAAGTTTTGAATCTTGAGACGACCCCCAGAAATAAAACAAAAAGCTGAAAAGTCCTTTTTAGAGAGATTGGAACTTTGTGTGAAAGCAGAGCAAGCAAACAAATATTTTAAATGTGTTCTTTTTTCCGTTAATCCATTAATCTCTGGAAATATCCATCAAAATATTGTTGAAAATGAACGAAGTGGTCCAATCATTGAAAAATATTGGTGGCTTTGTAACAAATAATCATAAAAACTGCATGGGAGATGGGACTAGAAACACCTTCATGTCCGAAGCAAAAAAAACAAAACATTGTTTAATATTTAAAAAGGGGACATAATGAACATTGTAAAGGATTTACTGTAATGTTTGTATTACTAGTGACAGTAATAGCGGTATGATGTAAAACTACCCTAGACGTTTGTACTGCCCCCAGTCGCCAGGAAACTACACACTGTCACTTCAGTATGTGATCTTCTGACTCCTATGTACTGCAGGTAAGACACTGCCTCTGTTTAAGATGGGGAAGGGGGGTGGGGTGGGGGGGCGGGGGGTTACATATCTCCAGCTGTCAATGGGCAATCAGGCGGGGTACACCCTGGACAGAGAGCCAGTCCATCGCAGGGCAAAACACACACACACACACACACACACACACCCCTAAGGAAAACTTAGACAGACCAATAAACCTAACAGTCGTGTTTTTGGACTGTGGGAGGAAGTCGGAGAACCCAGAGAGAACCCACGCATGCACAGAACACGCAAGCTCCATGCAGAAAGATCCCAGGCCGGAAGCGGCATGGCAACAGCTCCAACCACTGCGCCGCCTGTTTAAAATCCCAATCCCAACATTAGCTTCTTTATTTTTATGGGATAATTTGGGTCGTGTAGGAAAAAGCCCTGCTGCAGCATGTGTGTAACTCCTCTGTTTACATCCATGAAGCTCCCCCCTCGCACCAAGTTAGCTTTCCTAAACGTTTCTCCAGGATTCAGGACCCCAGCCTGGGTGAAAAACTTCTTCCGAGCGCATGGAGACAAGGCGGCTGAAACTTTCGCGTTGCTCGGTGCACTCAGGGACAAGATGTACCCAATGAATGAGCGGCTGCGCTGCCGGTCGACACGCCCCCAGCATGGATACACTGAGTAGGAACCAGGGCTCCAGAGACGCACTCGCAGACGGTTTGAAGGCGCGATGGGAGTTTACGCATCTAAGTTTCAGGAGTTCCTGTCGGCGTCGCTGCACTGAACAAAGACCTCTCTCTCTCTCTCTCTCTCTCTCTCTCTCTCTCTCTCTCTCTCTCTCTCTCTCTCTCTCTCTCTCTCTCTCTCTCTCTCTCTCTCTCTCTCTCTCTCTCTCTCTCTCTCTCTCTCTCTCTCTCTCTCTCTCTCTCTCTCTCTCTCTCTCTCTCTCTCTCTCTCTCTCTCTTACCCCTCCACCCTTTCTCACTCTCCAGCTGAGAGATCATCTCTGCGTTTTTCGTCCGAGGCGTTTCTCGCACAGGATGTTGATGATATACTGGAAAGCCGGGTAAGATCATAAAGTCAGTTCTCTGATGAGAACGACCTCTTCCTCCCCGTCTCTCCAAGGGAACAACAAGTACTTTTCCTCCTGCTTCACCTCCAGCACACCTTTGTTTTTCCTGGAATGCCATTGAGGAGCAGAGGGGGCTGTGTGAAAGATAAAATGGATCACTTTGCAGCAGAGTGCCTTGTTTCTATGTCCAGTCGCGCAGTGGTTCACGCACCGAAAGGTAACAGGGAGATCAAGCCGGAAACCCAATCCTCCTCCTCCAGGAACGGAGAGGACATAAAGGAGGTGATGGATAACTCCTCGCTTTTTGTGGTGGCACGGATCCTGGCGGATTTCAACCAGCAGACTCCCGACGTTGCTGCCGAGCAGGCAGCGAGAATAAAGGATGAGAGAGAGGATGGAAACTCTGCCACACCTACCGCCGGCCCCGATCCTGCGCTCAGACAAAGAGGCAAAAGATCGAGAGGTCGAACTGAGCAGGAATCACCTCAGAAAAAGCACAAATGCCACTATTCTGGTTGTGAAAAAGTTTACGGCAAATCCTCCCACCTCAAAGCCCACCTTAGGACACACACAGGTCAGTTTCTTTGGATGTGACTTGTTTGTTTTTTCTCACGTCTGAGGGAATAAATTAAACCACAGCCTTAAAACCAACAAAAGGAAAGTTGATAACAAAAAGTTAAAAAATTGGTCAATTACTGTATGGTAGGTCAAGGAGCCACCCTAAACGAGCGCGTGATCAGTTATAGTTTTATTTCTAACTGTTGTAAAACTTTAGATTGTCCTTTGTTAATTTCGTGGCACGAAAAAGTGGCTCGAATAAATAGTGCCACTCCCACTCATGTCTCAGAGCTTTGCCCCCCCCCCCCCCCCGCACACACACACACGCGCGCGCACGCACATCACATCACCGCATTGGACAGCGTGTTCAAAGCCAAAATGTCAATTTGCGCACAAAATTTACGCACAAAAACGTAGTTTTATATCAACAGTCGGTGCACTTTTATTTTGTTTTGTGGCAGCACGTCTGTCTGAACAAAGTGCACCCTACATAACAGAGGAGTGTAAGTGCGTATGGGCATGCAGGAAGTTTGTCCGAAGAGTCAGTGCGCTCAGCTGCATGCTGACCTCTCAGAACCTCCCCAGATCTGCGCTCTGCATTCCGCAGGATAGGATACTGGGGAGGGAGGGAAGGGTGGGGGAGAGATATAGATCGGCTCAAATTGGGGGGTTGATAATAGCTGTGCAGTCGCCTGTCTGCCCAAAGCCCTTTGTTATGATGTGCCACACCCCCGCTAGACAGACTGCCAGCTGATCTGGCCAGCAACAGACTCAGCTAGCTGAGCCTCGACTGAGGAGTCACTGCCTCCCTCTCTCTGATCTGAACATGCACTGCAGCTCTCTCTCTCTCTCTCTCACGCACTCCACACCCACCCTCCCCTCCCACCCTCCCCTCCCTGCACACAGCCACACACGCATCATCCAGCAGCAGCATGAAACACCTTGCATGAGCGTGACCCATATTTGAGTCACGCGCAGCAGAAACGCTGTATGTGCAAGGCGTTTTTACCCATAATCCATTTCTTGTTTTGTTTTCCATCTCTCACCTGCCAATCCAGATAGGAATATTAGGCGTGTCCCTGTAATCTCATTCTACACTCATTAATATTCATAAACAATGCGAATACACCTGGTAAGGCATCATGGAGGGATCAAACTGGAGGATGTTCTCTGAGAGACGCTGATTTCAGTCACATTTTTACTGCATGTGCATCAAAGTGAAGAAAAGACAAGGAAAGGGAAACAATTGGATTTATAACATAATTTGCTAGTTTATTATTTGTTGTCATGCAGCTTTTATAATTAGCCCCAGGCACCATGTTTAAGCCTTTCTTTTCTATGGGATATCCCTACGCCTCAGCCGATTGGTTCCATGACGTGACTGGTGGTTACGCTGCTTGCTGAGAGCCTTTGGCGTGCTCATGCTGTGTGAGTGTACTGGGATTTTATGAGACCACGCCCGCCCTGCCCTTGTCACAGTGCCTATCAAGCGTTTCCTTTCCCCTGCCCCTTGGTTTGGATGTGCTCCGTTTGTCGTCTGGCTCCCCAAATGGGCTGTGTCCTATAAATTGTGTTAATAATGACTGGGCAGGCCCAGAATGTGGGTCAGCTGAGTTCAGCATGGGCTGCCTCAGCCAATCTTGCTGTGCTTTCAGAGTCAAACTCTGGCAGCGTGCTTCCTTTTCAGCCCCTACTAGCAGAATCAAGAGAGAATGGATCCCAGCCTGGTCAGGTCTAGCCAAACTCAGCTCTCTAATTGAAGGGGAAACACTATAGAACACAAACACAGAGTCTGGGACAAAATGTCCCTTCATGACTTCTGTAACATTCGGATTTTCTGCTGCTTTTGTCTGGCAGTTACTCCTAAATGTGAACTTGGTAACTGGGATTTCCTCAGAAAACCTCTCTGTCACTTAATGTTTATTTCCAAAGTTTAATACAAAGTCATTTTTATAAAGTAAAACAAAAGGACGTCCATGCTTCTACTTAAAAAAACATGTCTGATCTTGCCCCCACCCACCTATCAGAGTTCAACAGGGACACGGGACTACACACTGCATTTAAATCACTCATTATACTGCACTGAGGTTGGATGCTGGTGGATCCACAGCAGTTTAGGGGTCTAAGGTTACCAGGCAGCCTTTGTCTGCTGCTCTAGGGTAGGAGGTGGAGCTCAGATGCTATAACTATGTAAAAAAATGAGGGGACTAATGGCAGATTTCATGAATCACAAACAAATACTTGCTGTCAGTTCACAAAAGTCTTGCTTTTCTCTCAGGGAACAGACAGGGCTCTTCTTCCTTATGGGTTGTTTGCACAGAACCCTCCCCCCCAAAAAAGAAAATTCTTAGAAAAGCTCATCTTGCCAGCATACAATACCCAAAATCTACTAGTCACATACATAGAGGGGGTGTGGTCAATAACAAAGAGCCTAATGACATATTTTACAGTTGGCTTGATGTTTTGTTTGAATCTCTTTTGTGGTGCCTCTGATTTAGATAGCTTTACTGTCTTAAAAAAAGAAGGGGCACCACCTGGCAGCACAGTCCCAGCACCGTGAAAGCTCAGTTGTTCGCTCGTTCTACCTATTTTCAGTCAAATAACTGTGGTTAGGGGCCTTTTCAAAATGTAGAGTTACCCCAATTCCACATGGAAAACACAGCAGGAGTCTCATTATATATGCTCCATCCCTGCCAGTGGTTTATATTTGGCTGCAGTGAAACACAAGCATGCACAGTGGTCCTGTGTGGCCGATGGGAATGATGAGGTAGCAGGGTGGAGATGGGGTTTTTCCTGCTTAAATCTAACCCTGGCAAAGGTATGGGTCACGAGGTACACTGGTGCAAAAGAGTTCAAACGCCCCACAACAGGATTTTCACCACTGCTCTCAGTACAATCACAAATCTCCTGGTGTGACCATTAATCTGTGAGCTTCACTAGTTGAATAAAATCAGCAAATTTGGTATAATCTGACCACGACCCACTGACAGAGCTTAGTTGGGGGCGGAGTCAATGGTTGTCTTTCATATTGTGTCTGCAGACAGTTGGACAGCGTTCGGACCAATCAGAGCAATGCACAATGTGATGTATATGTAGCAACATAAATCAGTCAGCGGGGCAGCCTGCCATGCACAGACCTAGGCACATCTATCTGATCACGTCTCAAAGAAAAGTAGAAGAACGAATCGTCCAAAGTTGATGCCAAAGTCAATTCAAACGAGTGCTGTTTTTAAGCTGCCATCTTTGTTGTTTTGCTCCATTGCAGCTTTGCCGTGTTGAAGATATGCCCACCTAATGTCTCTACAAATATAGAGTGCTGTGATTTGCCCAGCCGAAGCTTAGCTAGGCCAATGGTAGCCCTGTTGAGACTAAAGGAGCGCGGCTAGACCACCTGCAGAGCACAACCTTTTTGCTACTTCTACGGTTTGTCTAGATTTTTATGAACTTCATTCTTTGCGAGTTGTAATGCACATGTATGATGCTGGGCTTTCTCCACTTGTGAAACAACAACGAAAATCATCTGGTTGGTTCAGAAAACCCGAGTTCACTGGGTGTGCCCAATACAACAAAGGTATTAGTTCAATCCACGTGATCCACATGGTGAAAATAAAGCCAGAGTCAAGCCACCATCTTGCCCATTAATCCTCTGTTGCAGTGTTACAGTCCTGTAGAAGACATCTTTAAGACGTGTGCGGGTGCACATGCCGGCCATATGTTGTCCTGCCTGCATTGACGCCAGGACAGTTTCTCGTTAATATCAGAGCACAAGCCTGACGCGACTATAATTTAGCAGTCAGGCATGCACAGCAGACAATCATAACAGTGAATGGCCTCGGTCAGACAGCGCCCAGCCTGGACTGTTTTTCAGTGACCCACAGGGCTCATGTATTCTTTAGTTAGTGCTATAAAAGCTGCTCTGTCTACTTCCCTGCCTGCCCCTCCCACCTCTTTCCTGCCTGCAAAGCAAAGCAGACGCTGAAGCGTGTTGCTTTGCAAGGCCCACTCTGGCCACGTCTCATGGTGTGGGGTTGATTACAAGCATACAGGAAGAGCTGAATGCAAACCTGTGGAACCCTGCGTCTTCTTCTTCGCCTCCAATGCTCAAAGCCCGCTGGCCTCACCTCACATGTGAGGGAGAGATCTGCAGCACAAAGGCAGAATGTACAGTAGAGTGCAGCAGGATGGGGGTGGGGTTAGATGCCAGGATATTCTCTGTCAGTGCCATCCACTGATGTAGGTCATTTATTCAGCTGCAGCTACAGCTGATCTGATTAAAATCAGAGGGACTTTAACCTCGACTGCAGAGCCCTTTGCTAAAATCTGAGACTGTGAACTGATTTGTGAATTAAGATGTTTGTAATTGCTCCACAGCTACAGTCAGATGGAGTGTTTGTTCCCTTGCTGTGGTGTGTGTGTTTCCTCTGGTATGTAAGGTGTGTCCTGCTCCTCCTCCTGTGTGATAAATCTAACTAGAAAACCACAACACACTGAGGTGCGGCTAAATTAACTTCTTATTTTTTGGGGGAAGCAAGATGAATAATTTCCCTGGAACATTTCTTGTGCTTGTCTTCCCAAGGATCAGCCAGTAGGAAGTTGGTGTTTTTCCAGCGTTTATCTTTTTTTTTTCATCCAGTATATTCTGGTCACTCAGCAGCTGACAGTCTCTGTGTTGGCTTAAACGAGGACGTATTATGATTATTTTTCTTAAATTTTATTAGTTGTGTTGTTATTAAAAGATGTTTATTAAGCACAAATTCCCTCTCACATAAAGCAATTTCAGCAGTTTTATTCTGGACACTTTCAGTACCTGCCAGAATGAGGCATTTTCAGGCTCTGTCACTTTAAGAAAATAAGCTGAATAGGCCACACCCACCCAACCCCCACTCAGGCTGCTATAAGCTAAGAAGCTCCAATATCCTGCTCTTCCAGCAGCAACTCTCTTCAGTCCTGTTAATTTCCTTATTTGTGACATCACAAAGACTTTTTGAAACACAATTTCTAAAACTAAACTCTGACTGAAAACGGATAAATGTGTTTTTTAAGTTTAGAGTGTTTATAGAGGCAGTAGAGACCCACATAGCACAAAATGATGCAAAATGTGTCTTTTGCGTAATATGTTCCCTTCAAAATAAACGGGAGACATGCAAGTGTGAGGAAGTGATGCACCTGATTCTGAGGCCTAACAGTTAACACCTTTACAACCGCAGGAGATAGAGTTTTCAGTTAACTCGGCTTAAAAGATAACACATGAAACTGGTTTTGTGAGAGTGCCCATTCAGCAAGCTGTCTGCCCTTCCCTGAAACAGTTAGGTGGAGGAAGTAATGCATAGCAAAGTGTGTGCAGGAGTCAGTCACACTTAACTCCACTGCGCATCCCTGTGTGAATGCCAAAAGTCGTTCATGCCGACCAAGGGCATTATGGTTGGTGCACGCAGCTTTTTTGATTGAAATGCATTACAAGTAGGGCTTTCCTGCTGGGAACAGGGCTATTGTTTGCAACCTGATGGCAACACACCAACCAGGGGAGGTGCTCCTATCAGCCACAAGCAAGGTTCTTCCCAAATCAGGACAAAAAGATGATAAAAAACAATTTTTACTGAACTTTTTATTGTTAAAGTGTAATGATTGTCAAAAACACCTGATCCACCCGACAAGCTCCAGCAGATTTTGTTGATTTGTACAAAGTTTCAACAAAAACAAGCTGTAAGTGAGTTATTTTCTCAGTGATTTGTCTCCTCTACCTCTGTTATTTTCCATAGAAGAGCAACCACATAAACAATTTGATCACAGATGTGTTTCATGACAAGCTGTGCCTTTCTGTCAGACCACAGAACTTCGCTTGCCTTTGTTGTTATTTTTGCACAGGCGAAGCGCGTCTACACCACCGAACAATGAAAGGAGAAGCCATAGAAAATGCCGTGATGTATATTTCTTTGCCGTGCACACACATGCTAGTGTTTATATCATCCTGGCACGTGATATCGCCTTTTTTGGGCGAGGGTGGGAGTGGTGAGGTTAACCCTGTCTGCTCTGGTGGAGTTAGCAGTCATTTAGTATTACTTAAAATGCCCTGAATGGTGCCGATCTGGGCTGGTGACTGGTCATAGTCTTGTAAACACAAAGCCAAACGACCGGGTTGTGCTCTGCCTTAGCGTTGAGTTTAGCGGTGTACTTCTCATTTCATGCTGCCTGGCTGGCTATGCAAAAGTGAGATCATTGTGTTCTGCATTTGGACATTTTAGCATTTCTTTCCTGAACAATTCACTTGTAAATGCCTGTGCAGGTTTAGGGAGCATCCTGTGAAACATATGTTCTCCTCTGGTCCTTGTGAGGGCAAAAGAAAGCTAACCTCATGGTGGTTTCTGATTTATCCACAGAAACAGCATTTTTCCTTTCTCCCTCTGCTGAGGTTTTTACTGCAGCTCGCTCCTTTACAGGTAATCTCCCGTGGCGGTTTCAGGTGTACACAGTGTGCCTGAGGTCGCACCAGGAATGTTGTGTAGTTTTGGTTGAAATGCTGGTAGAGGCGTCGTCGGAGCAAGTGATCGAGATCAGTTCCCCGCTCCTACGTCAAAACGAGATTTGATCTGGCCTTTGCAGATGGAATCCTTTTACACCTGGGGAACAGATTCCTCTTTCTCCAGAAGGTTCCTGCAGAAACCACTCATATATGAACGAGAAGAGGACAGAGGGATGAGCTGTTTATTTACTGACCCACTGGATCCAGAGAGAACACTTATATAAGTGGAGTGCCTGTGTCATAATCACACCACCTTGGAGAGAGGGGTGCTTAGTAGAGGTGCGTGATGCAACTCACTTTATGGGTAACTGGGTCACTGTGTGCGATTGTGAAACCCCCCTCCCCTCTCCACCCTAACACCCTCTGCAACTGACCCATTCTAAGAAAGACAAACCCTAACGCGAGAGCGTGGCTCAATGCCAAGGACAGGGCGGCCAATCAATGGAGGCTGACATCACGGTCGCCACGGCACCCTGCTGTGACACCACAAATAGATATGGAGGAAAAACAGCCCTAGTGACATTCTTCATTCAGCAAAGATGCTGAGTAATCTCTGCAGCCTCCTCCTGAGTCACCATTCAGAACGAGCTGTATCACAGCCTCTCTGGTGAAAGCAGCTGAAGTTGTAATAAGATCTGTTTAGTTTGAATTCAGAATGGTTTCATAACTCGACCCACACTGCTGATAGATATCTGACTCTGGATCAGTGCAGCCAGACTGGATATCTCAGCCCAGCTCTCCTGGATCTCTTTAAATATTAATGTCGTCGGATCTGTTACACTGGTCCGCCTGCGGCTCGCTCTCAGCTCACCTTTTAGGTTAGTAACTCCTTTCAGAGCGAGGTCAAGCTTCTTTTCTGGCTAACAAAACCACAACTCAGTCTGACGTGATGCACCTCCATCACACGAGCGCCAGTAGCCACGCTCCACTCAAACATCATAAGCCAGCGCCTAAAATGAGACAAAGCCACGCTTGGCATGCAAATGTGCATGTTGACACGTCAGTTGAAGAGTTTAAACACACAAAACCATGCATGAACCTGCAGGAGCTGCAGTGGGCGGGGCCAAAGCAGAGGTGAGGCGTCAGAGGCAGGAACATACTGTCTAGACTTGCTCTGTCTGCCTGCGTGTTTTGTAAGCACACAGAGCAAAGGGGGGAGGGAGGGAGGGAGGGAGGAAGGGGGCAAGATGTGCAATGTACCAAGTTCTTGTTTGTTGAGACTCTCTGGCATCAGGTAGCATGTTTCCATCGAAGGAAACCAAAGAACAAAAGAAAGTCTTACTTTTGTCTCACCCATAAACACCATGCACGTTTATGTCTTCTACCCTTCGTGCTTTACATTTCTAACTTGGTCATGCACAAAACACAGGATTGTAGATTAAATTTAGTCTGCTTGTTGCTTTTTTTAAATCCAGAAATGTAATAAAGTTGAACAAATGAGAGGGCAGGAGGTGTGGGTGTTAGTTCGATTCACACGGCTAAATGAAAGGGAAACAATTCATCCTGGCTTTAAGTAGATTTGTTTAGGCGTCTGTTATTATTGCCTGACGGGGGAGATCTCCCATGTGGGGAGTCACAGACATGGGATAATGACTGGGAGTGTGATTAGCATCTGAAGCTATATAATTAAAGTGTGTCTGCTACTTCTGTGTCACGCCATGTTGTTTTTTTTTTTGTTATCAAAAGTAATATTATTACAGGCGATTAGTCTAGCGTCTCCTAATATGTTTTAGATATCAGGGCTGGTTGTTAATATCCGTCTTCTTATCAGCTGATCTTTAGGAATAACTTTGTTTAGTCACGGTTTTATGAGTCATCACTTACTGGAATAATTTTTTTTTCATCATCAAACAAAAATATAAAGAAAAAAAATGAAATTATTTTGTAATTATGTTTCAAAACCTCTGAAACATTTCTTTAATCCTGCTAATAGAGATCAAACTTTTGCTAAAAGTTATTTTTGTTCTCAGATGTTAGAAAACAGCACCAAAAACAAGAAATCCAACACTCTGAGTTTAATAAACACCAAATCTTTGGATTTAGCTTGAAGTTTTCATTTATGCCAGCTGGAAACAAGGCTTACCTGGTGCTAGAGATGCATAAAAGTACAGCTAATTAACACATTCATAAATGTGTTTACAGAAAACACAGCTGATGTGTGGAGTGACGTCATCATAAAAGAGTTTTGCTGCAAAAGGTTTATTTAGCATGTGAAGACTTGAAATGATTCCCAGGGAGTCTCTTTTAATGGTTATCGGATACCAAAGATGATTTTTCTTTAATCCTTCAGACTAAAAGCACACATGAAGAATTCTGTTCATCTCTCAAATCACGTCAAGTTACTGTTAACCAACCTACTTTAGATTAAATCAGCCCATTTAATAGTATTTTACTGTCATTCCCAAAGCGACTCCGTCCCTAAAGTCTCCAGGATTACAGGACTCGTCGTTCAAATGAGTCAAATTTACACTAAACACCTCACCAGCCTCACCACATAGGTTTTGTCTCTTGATCTTAACCCGTTGTACAATCCTTGGTTGAATATTGCTTGAATGTTTCAGATCTTCTTCTGCTTATGGAGCAGGAGCACATCTAAAACATGCAGGTTAGTGGGGCGCAGAGACCTGGATTGGACATTTAAACAGAACCAGGGTTTTGAATACCTTGTTGGAGCATATTACACGTTAAAGGCGGTAATGACCTCTTGTTTGTGCAGAAAGAAAACTAGGAGATTATTTGTAGTGATTTTATTTCAAACAGCTTCCCAATTAGAAAACAGCAGCTGCTCAGAGTCAAAGTGTTTAAAGAGAAGGTTAGAAAAGCTAAATTTGTCTTGACTCGTTGCTGATTGTGTTCCCTCCTTCCTGCATGAATGCACACCTTTCCTGTCTGTTCTTTGCAGGCGAACGGCCCTTCCCGTGCACCTGGCCTGACTGCAGTAAGAAGTTTGCTCGCTCCGACGAGCTCGCTCGCCACTACCGCACCCACACGGGGGAGAAGAAGTTCGGCTGCCCCCTCTGCGACAAGCGCTTCATGCGCAGCGATCACCTGATGAAGCACGCCAGGCGCCACTCTGATTTCCAGCCCGGCATGTTGAAGAGGTCTCACGGCAGTGGGGCCACGCGCCCCGGCTCCCTCAGCGACTACAGCCGCTCGGACGCCTCCAGCCCCACCCTCAGCCCCGCCAACTCGCCTTAAACTGAAACCTGGTCGCACTTTTTCAGGCCCTCCAGACTGGGGAGGCCTTTATTTTCATCGTAACACTTTTGTTGCACAGTTGACAGCAATCCAACCCCCTTCCCCCTCTCCTCCCTTTTTGCTATTCCTGCGCTCGCTGTGGTGTACCATACTGTACATAAGTGCTTATTGTAGTGCAATTACTTGTGTGATCCTAAAAGAAGATAATGCCTTCCCCAGATGGCGATATCTCCCATTCTGTACCACATGTCTGTATTTTTTAAGCCTCTGCTCATGGCTAATTGTTTAATGTCAATGTTCACAGTCTAGAAGAAGAAAAAACAGACAAACACCCTGATGAGTCTTATCAAAATGTTTTTCAAATGGATTAGGAGAAGGGGTACACACATACACCTCAGGATCGAAGACAGTTGCTCTTTCTGTCATAGTACTCACATTGACTGCACAATATACTCATCACTTTACTCTAAAATTCAACGGAAGTTGGATTTTACACCCTGCTCAGGGATGGCCTTGTTAGCTTGAACGAATGAACGCGGTGAAGAGGAAACATACATAACGTCGCAGCCTTACACTCAAACACAATTTGCACTCGACGGTCACGACACAAACCTTCTGTTCCCTCTCATGATCGATGGGGAGTTAATTTGTAGTTTCATTTTTATGTGTGTGTGTGTGTGTGTGTTTTGTTGAGAGAACGATCCCCGCCTCGGAAAACAAAATCATCCACTCCCATCTTGCTCTGGCGTGACACTGGTCTGGGTTTTCCATGTTTTTTTAATGAAGCGGGACGTTTAAAAGCAGCTGTTTGTTTAACAAAATACCCAATCAGCACGTTTCCCCCAAAAAAATGGAGAAAAAAAAGTTGAAACAAGGTTAATTCATCTTTTAAGCACAGAAATGGAAAGAAAATACCAAAGAAAATGGTGAATGAAAGCTTTTTATTCAGCTCTGGAAGCCAGGTTGAGCCAGTGGCTACTCCCGAGGAAACAGCTGCACCCTTCGCAGCTTTCTGCTAGCACGCTGCTCCCCGGGGAGTCCTCCCTCATCCGGCTCTACCTGTCCTGTCAGAAAGTAGAAAAGCTCAGAGCCAGAAAAAAACATCAGCCTGAAGTCGGAGGCCAAACGCCGGGTGAAGAGTTGAAAGATCCGAGCCAAGCTGAGGGAACAAAACCAGATATCAGCAACAAACATGCGAGAGAGGGCAGGCCCTGATAAAAGAGGAGAGGTTTATCATGAGCTGAGTAGCACAAAGGAGGAGACAAACAGCCCCATTTCCTCCTCCTTTCTCCTTAATCACCCACTCCTCTTCCTCCCTGCAACTGCAGCAGAAAAAAAATGGCTGTCATTAGTGACTTGATCTAAACTCCAGGATAGGAGGAACATTTTTTAAAAGTGCAAAAGCCTTTTGTGTGTCAGCAATGTGGGTGGGAAGCTGCATCCTAGAAGCACAAACAGAATTCCTCCGCTACTGCTGGAGAGTACGATTTCACCGAAGCTGGAGGCCGGTGCTGATAAACCCCCAAACAGCTGCTTTCAAACTTCTGTCTCATCACATCTTCCAGGGATGTTGCAAAAACCATCCAGAGCAAAATCCACGATGTCAGCAGAGCGCCGCACTCACAAACCTGATGTTTCCCAGCACGTGAAGCTCTGATGACCGAGAGAGAACGCTGAACTGTGCTTTTGTTTTTGTGACAGACATGCTTGGATAAGTCAGGCAAACCTTGCATGGCAACAAGCACCACTATCGCACGCACCATGTCTTACGCCTGCATCGTTTGGGTTCCTGCTAGCACCTCCATCCTGCGCTCCACGCTCTATGCATGTTAACTTTGCTCTGAAAGCTGAGAGCCTTTTGGGGGTGGGGGTGGGGGGGGGGGTGGGGGGGGTGGGGGGGGGTTCGGCCTGGCAGGTGTAAGTTCATGAATGTCAGGCCTTGTTCCTCCTTTCTGAGCAGCAGCCATCTTTCTTTTTCTCTGACTTTTTCCCCCCAAAAGAGAACATTTCCCATTATAAACTACACAAAAGTTGCATCAAAGCTGCATGAAGACACCTCCTACAGCTCTCGGTCACCATTTCTTGAAAATGCCTCATAAAAATCAAGCTGAATTTTCTATTTTTAATTTTTGGCCTAGTTTCAAGTTTAAATTTCTCTCTCTTTTTTTAAATATGAATAAAAATGAATCAGTTTTTAATCTATAATCTGCACATTTTCCTCAGGGTCGACATCTGCCAAGCAGATACGGGACAGTTTGTGGATTTTGTTGTAAAATCGGTTGTTGCACACACACACACACACACACACACACACACACACACACACACACACACACACACACACACACACACACACACACACACACACACACACACGCACGCACGCACGCACGCACACACACACACATCCTATGAGCTCCCGAGTGCTCAGTGTTCCCTGCTGGTTGGAGCACACTGGACACACACAGGACCGCCTCAGTGCTGGCTCACCCCGTATGTCTCAGAAAATGCCCCACAGCTGTTTTCAGTGAGCTGCCCCTTTAAGTCTCGGAGCGAGTGGACCTCCAGAACCATGCGGATCCATGTATTCATCCATCCAGACTTCAGAGTGGCTCCAAACATACTTGAATAACTCAAACACACAAGGCCATTTCACACAGTTTTGTCTACTTTTTGTCAAACCCTTAAAAAACAGATTTTTTTGTCTGGATTTTTTTTATTTTACCTTCAGGTGGTTCTACTTAGCATTTTCTAAACCAGGTTCTGTCTCTAATGCTCTGTTGATGTCAGGGAAGCAGGTAGATCCACTTTACCTGCAATCCCAACGTTTATTTTATTCATTGAATTTAAAAAAAGTTGTTTTTTATTTGGAGGGTGGGATTTATTGACTTCTATGTATTTCAGTGATTGATTTATTATTCTAGATTCTTTTAAACATTTTCCATAGACCACAGAATTGTGTTAGTGATGTAGTCATTTTTTGTATTATTGCTGATTTTGTTTGTCAAAATGTTTGAGGTTGTTGATTTTTTTAAAATATAAAACTATACCTCTAAAGATATTTGACTTAAGATTAATCGTCATATCTTTTTGAATCATCCATCATGTAGCTTTTGTCTGAGTAGCACAATTAGTTGTTGGTTGAATTTGTACTACTTGAATGAAGAAGTAGAGAAAGAAAGGGAGATTTTTGTTTAAACTGAAAAGAAAAAAGCAAAAACACTGAGCTACATTTTGTACAAACGTACAACGTTGCCAGGATCTCCATGTCTTTAGTCATTTTTTAAATCTCATGTCACACAAGTCTTCAAACATCCCTATAAATTAAAACTTTAGCGGAAATCGCACACATTTCTGTAAAAATACAAATGGATATGGCTAAATGCAACTAACCATTTATTTTATTATGATTAACATCAGTGTGTTACCAATCAGACTGTGTCTGCAGAACTAAGCATGATCGATGTGCCAAAACTATACTGGTAACTTCTTAAAGAGGATACAATGATCGTGGGTAAATAACCATACCATTAAAAATGTGTACAGTTTTATAAACATGTTCAAATGTTCTGATTAAATGAAGCAACTCAGCATATCTGATATGCGGCTGCTCTAAGGTAAAGGTCTGTGTGAGCGTTTTGGATGCTGTAGTTTTGTGTGTGTTAGTACTGAAGCTGTGTATAATTGCTTTTTGCAGGTATTCCATGTTTTTGTTGACTTAAACAGTTTTATTGACAACAGATGCTCAGCCATTCCAAAGGATTTATGATGGCATTTGCTATAAATGTGCTGCTCCCATCAACCTGATGCATTTTTGTAGGTCATGAGCTGAAGTTTGTTCCGACTGTGAGGTTTTACGCGTTTTTAGGTGTGCACAAGGTACATTTTGTGTTCTTTTCTCCATTCTCCCACTTCCTTCGGGCTCCTTGTGTTGGCGATTTGAATGATAAAGTGACAGCATGTCTTCCCTTGTGACACGTAGGGGTTTGATTACTTTTATTAATAAAGCAGCAGCCATAGAACTATAGACTGGGTTTTTGATTGTTGTTACCAAAGGCTCGGAAGGGAGAGATGAATGTTGCCATAGTTTTGGATCCAGTGCGGTTTACACCAATGGGTTCAACCTTATGCGCTGTTGAAACGTGGATGTTGTGCTTGACACGGACCTTTTCTACATCTCAAGTAGGCCACTTTCTTAGAACTCTTTTTTTTACTTTTGAAAGTAACTTGAATGAACAAAAGTTGTTCAAACGAACTCTGAATGAGTCGAACAGCGACGGAGCAGTTGGTCTGCTGGTACTTGTATGTTTGGACTGACACTGAGGTGCACCTGCTCCTTCCTCTGAAGAATGTCGGTAGGATGTCGTTGCCCGTAAAGGATTCGTTTGCTACAGGGTTTGTGCGGCCAGCAGAGCTGCCCATGACCTTACTGGCGAATAAAAAGGACCTTCCACCAGCTTTTGGGTTTGGTTTCCTGTACCTGTTTGTCCTCAGTGTACCTCCTCTGTGTAATCGTTGCCCTCTGGATACCTCTGTGATTTTCCTCACCATCAGTTGCCTGTTGTAGTGACTCCGTGGTGCTGCTTCCCCGCTTCTAGCACCAGTTTAATCTGTTCTGTAAATAACTGAACTCAGCTATGGCCAGTACATCCTCCTTTTGACCTCATCTAAACCTTCAGGTGTCTGATTTATATATATATATATATATATATATATATATATATATATATATATATATATATATATATATATAGTTTTTTTTTCTTTTCAGCAAACCAAAATCACTACATTCAAGTATTACAGTTGTACAGTTCCTTGGATTCTACACACATGTTAATGTGCTGGTCTTAGCTGCTCTGTTTGACCTTTTTATGGCATTATTTTTTACATGTCAGACAATATATTGTGACCATGTCCTATGCAAATACAAAAAATAACAGATTGTTGAGTAATGTATGTTGTCATAACTCGTATGCATGATATAGTGAGATTTACATTGAAATAAATTCATAAAATAAACATTTGTTCTTTGCTTTCTTGTGATAAATATGACATCAGATGGGATGGCCCTAAAATGGATACCAAGTCGTTTAAATGACAGACAACAATATGCTCAAACAACACCAAACCAAAATTATGTAATATTACTTGTGGCATACCACAAGGGTCAGTATTAGGCCCTAAACTACTTATTATTTATTATAAATTATATAGTTGCTACATCTAATATATTAAAATGCACTCTAGTTGCAGATGACTCAACTTTTTATTGTTCAAGAGATAATGTTGAACAAATGATAAAAGTGGTACAAACAGAGATGAAAAAATTTAATTGTGGTCTAATAACAGTGAAAAATCTAGTTTTATGATGTTTTGTTATACAAATTTCAAAACTTTGATACAAATAAATGATATTAATATTAAAAGGGTAAAGAAAGTCAAATTTTTTGAAATAAATTATATATATATATAAGATTCTGGTTCTAAAATCAAACTGTAAAGTATTTTATACATTAAAAAAGGAGCAATGTGCTATCACTTCTAAAATTGCAACAGGAAGTTCACGTTGTTCCTACATTTCACACGTGTAAATATTTACTGTAACTGCTGGGGTATCAAGAATGGATGGGGCCTGAAAGTGCAAGAGGGACTCTTTACTTCGTTTTTGTTTCTGAGAAAAGTTTGCTGAACAAACACAACAAACAGGTAAATGGATGATGCACTGCAAACTCTAAAATATTCATTCAAGTCCAGATGACACACACACACACACACACACACACACACACACACACACACACACACACACACACACACACACACACACACACACACACACACACACACACACACACACACACACACACACAAACACACACACATACACACACACACACACGTTCACATGCAGGGATTTATAGCAGTGGGTCATAAAGTTCTAAGTCATAAAGTTCTAATAACGTGTGTCAGTTTGAGTTGAGACTATGGTTTATCTACAGTTTTCTAATTAAAGAAATTTTCTTTAATTATTACAAACCCAAATATGTCTAGACATCTTGCAAAACAAAAAAAAAAGCCCACAAGCTCTACAACTACAACTAATGAACCTCTGTGAAGCTATTTCATTATTTACAAACCAAATACTATGTCTCATGTAGAGGGTAAATGTTGTTGCTTTCAAGCTTAATATATTACCCTTACTTATGGCCAATAAGCTGTGATACTCTATATAAATATAGAATATCAACCTGCTTGGTCTTTGGATGTTTAATCAGAAGATTCCAGGATTCTTTGCTTTTTCCAGGGATCAAACACACTTCATCTCAATTCAGACAGAGTCAGGTTTATAAAAGATAGGAAATTTATTTTGTTGGATGAATCTAAGAGGATGGGATGCGATGTACGGTGATTGAATGGTGTG